GTTCTAAGCCAGCCTGAGCAACTTAGTGAGCCTCTAACTCAAAGTAAAATACAAAGAGGGGTCAAGGTGGGGAGGTAGTTCAGTGGAAGAGTGCTTGCCTAGCATGTCTAAAGCCTCCAGGTACAATTTCCAGCAACATACACAAGAAAAAGTGCTAGTATTTGTAAATAACCTGAGCCAGTACTGATAAACATGATCTAAGTATTTATTAAGAAAATAAATCAACACAGGACTCCATGTGCATGGATTTCCACTCAGGACTCTAAGAGGCAAGTAGTTTCTCTGAGCCTTGGTCTCTTCTGCAACAAAATGAAAGGTTTGAATGAGATGCCTACACTGTGACGCCTGGTGTCATAGGTCCAATGCCAGCTTCTTGATACTGTGCCACGGCACTGTCACAGACAAAGTTCACACCCCCAATCAAGTTACAGAAAACTGGAAAAAACAAAGTTTCTTGTTTTGAGTACATTTATGATTTTGTGTTGGGCCACATCGATAGCTGTCCCTGGTCCCATGCAGCCCACGGACCACAAGTTGGATATGGAGGCATGTAGGGGAGCCACGTAGAGACACAAACCCAATATGTGGCTCAGGGGTCTAAAAAGAATTATACAAACTATGTAGGGTGACTCCTCCCAAGATCCCTGGGAGGTTGAGGAGAATCCCTTTAATGGTACTGATGATGAAAAGAAGAAACGGAGAGGCCATGGGAATTCCTTTCTGTGGTCACAGAGTGAACTGTAGGGTAAATGCACAGTTGGACCCTGCTCAGGCTAAGTGAACCAGTTTTGGTGCTGAAGATGTGCCTAGCAGGCTGTCTACATTATTTTTCTATTACTGTGACAAAATACCATGACCAAGACAACTTATAGAAGAAAGGGGTTATTTGGGGTTTACAGTTTCAGAGGGTTAGAGTCCGTCACTATCATAGCCAGGGGCATGACAGCAGGCAGGCAGGCAGGCAGGCAGGCAGGCACAGTGCTGGAACAGTTGCTGAGAGCTTGCCTCTTGAGACACATCCACAAGGCAGAAAGACACTGGTAATTGAAACATAAAGCCTACCCCCCAGTGACAGACCTTCTCTAACAAGGCCACCCCTCCTACTCCTTCCCACACAGTTCCACAAACTGGGGACCAAGTATTCAAACATACGAGCTTATGGAGGCTGTCCTCATTCAGGCTGGTTGTCCTTTTTCAAGTTTTAGGTAATCCAAGGAGTACTTGATGGATCCTACCAAAAAGGTAACAACTATCCCAGGGTCTGGGGCAGATGGAGACAGGAGGGAAAAGCAAATGCTTCAGTATAGATTAGGAATGAGAACTCAACCAAGACTGTAGGGAACTCCAGTTGGGGTGAAAGCCACTGCAGTGTCTGTTCCTCTGTCTGTCACAGACAATGTCATGTCTGGCAGATGGCAGGTGGCCAGCCCAGGTGGCCACTACAGATTTCCAAATGATTCTGGATGGATGAGTGCTTCTTAAGGTTTTTGATCTTTGGCAAAGAAGCTGCCATTTTATGATCGTAGAGCAGCTCATATTTTATTAAATCATTAAATGAGCACACAAGACAAACAACATGCTTTTTGTCACCTTCAGAGAAGAGCGGCAATGGAGAACAAGGGACCTACACACTCCTTTGTTGATCAGGAGGGAAAGCGTACAAGAGGTCATGGCTAACAGGAGTTGAAGAACCTGGCACCTGCCACATTCTTTTCCGGCTGCAAGTCATGTTTCTGCTAATGTCCTAGCATTTCCCTCAGTCCAAGCTAATGGAATTTGCTATGCATTATTTTGACACTGAATGGTGCTGATGTTATCTCACTCACCTATTATAGAACTAGACACTACTGGTTGATACTCAGCCCAAATAAGTTCATTGTGACCTGAGTGCTGGCATATTCCAAGGGCCATGCTTCTGCAGCTCACAGGTATTCCCTGAAAGACAAATATGACAGTCCGGCTGTCTACTTGGAATTAATCACCTTTGTCCTTAAGGTTCCAGCAGGGTTACACTCAGGGATCTGTAGGTTCGTGTATGCATCGATTGCTGTTGTATCTAAATAATGTTTAATTTAGAGCCTTCTTAATTTACTCATGTTGGCACTGGGGACTCATCACTAGAAAAGGAAGCAGTGTCCCCTCACTGAACAGAGCTGCATTCACTAAACCAGTACCCTACCCAGAAGCCAGCCTACTGGGAAAGGTTCTACCACCAGACACTGGAAGAAAATCTCCCTATGGGAGACAGCATGGCTGGGCAAAGGAAGTGCAGGAACCATTGAGAGGCATGGATTCCGTGTCAGGGACTAGACTGACAGTTAGCACAAAATGATGTGAAGGAATGGGCCCTGTGGTCAAAGAGGAAGCTGGGTCCATCTGAGGCCCAGTTAGCAGGAAACAATGAGATCCAATAGTGTGCTGGAAACTCAAGGGCTTTATCCAGGGAAGAATGCAATTGAGCTGAGGCTGCCGAAGTTGGAGATAGAGATAGGATGGAGAGGGAAAGAAAGTGCCCAAATGTTTAGCAGTGTATGGAGCATGGATCAGTAGCATGCACTGAAGCTGTTTCTGCTGGACACAGGATGAGATGGAGTGTATGAGTTACTTTTCTGCTGCTGTGATAAAACATCATGACTAAAGGTCAACTTAAGGAAGAGTTTGTTTTGGCTTATGGTTCCAAAAGGATAAGAGTCTATGATGGTAGACTAGAGGTAGGGCAATAAGCAGCAGACTTGGTGGTGGGAGCAGGAAGCTGAGGGCTCCCATCTTCAAACATAAGCACAAAGCTGAGAGAGTAAACTAGAAGTAGATGAGGCTTTTCCTTTTCAAAGCCTGCCTCCAGCAAGGATGCACCACCTCAACCCCACCAAGCAGGGACCAAGTGTTCAAATTCCCAAGATTACAGGGGACATTTCTCACTGGAATCACCTCAAGGAGGAAGGATGAGTGGCTGTCTGAGGGAAGGGACAAGTACAGAACACATGAGTCTGCAGACATCCTGCTGAGGAGTGGTCCCCTACACTCCACAGATGAGAGAGGTACAGGGGTCCCAGCAGATGGTTCCATGAATGACTACAGGTACTTTTTGTTCTTCTCCTCCTTCTCTTCTTCCTTCTTCCTCTCCTTCTCTTCCTTCTCCACAACTCCCTCTTTATCCTCTACTTCTTCTTATATTGAGACTTGCTAACCAACCTTTCAGTTCAAGAGTTGATTTCCTGTCTTAACAAGAATCTTATGGACATCCACCCCTCATGCTTCCAGCCTGAAGACCCTGTTGCCCACGTGATCCTGTGGCCCGGAAAGACAGACATTCTTGGGCAAAGCAATCAGAGCCATGAGAGTGCATTAAACCAGGACCTCTAATGTCATCTCAGCCAGTAGGTTGAGTGTGCTGCCTGGAGGCCCTGAACCCTGTCCTGAGTAAGAATAGGGCAATAAGGCAGAGAGTGGGGTCAGCCTATGAGAAAAAGCCAGTGGCAGAGAGGAAGACTGGAAATGCTTGTCGCATAGACTGAACTGTGTTACAGTTCAACATGCTCAAATGTGGGTTGGGTGAATGATCCCAGTGCCCTCAGTACTGGAATGTTGAAGTCCCAGTCCTTTGTACAGCCTTTGCTTTTGAACCACTGACCTTTCCCCCAGCTCTGGTAGACTTCCTTCTTGGGAAGTGATCTCTGTTTATCCACCTCTCCCCACTCCCTCCATCGTGTGCATGTATGGAGAGCAGAGGTCAACTTTGGGTGTCATGCCTCAGATACTATCTACCTTATTTTTTGGATATGATCTAACTCTTGCTGACTAGGCCAGCCTAGGTAACCAGCGAACCCTAGGGATCATCTGTATCAGTCTCCCCAGTGCTGGGATTACAAATAAACATGGCCACCATGCCCATATTTTTTTCTTCTATTTTTGATATAAAAAGATAATTACAGCATTTCTTCCTTCTCTTCCCTTCCTCCAAGCCCTCCTGTATATCATTCTCTTTCAAATTCATGGCCTCTATTTTCATTAATTTTTGTTACATGTGTATATGTATATACTGAATGAAAAAAAAAGAAAAGGAAAGGAAATATGACTGCTCCTGGGTATGCTAAAGGGGAAAATTTATTATAAATATGTAGGAGAGTATAGCCAGAAGCAGGAACCTCTGGGAGAGTCCAGAGTGGACATGGTCAGACCGAGTTGTGCCATGTAAGGTGCGGGGAGGGAGAAACCCAAAGATACAAAGAGGATGAGCAACCAAAATGGTTGAATTATATAGAGAAGGGCAGCTGGGGGAAGGGCATGCCATCCCAGGGATGGAGAAGTTTAGGGTAGGGGGTGGGGTATGCCAGCCAAGAGGTCCCTGTAACAGGTAGGGACTAAGGTATGCAGGGAGAATCTGGTAGTCTGCTTTGATATGTTAAATAGGAACCTCAGCCATTAGATTAGATTTGAAACCTAACATTAATATAATATAATATAATATAATATAATATAATATAATATAATATAATATATATAATTAATATGATATGATATAATAGATATAATATAATATAATATAATATAATATAATATAATATAATATAATATAATATAATATAATATAATATATATGTGTGTGTATGTGAATACATATATATGTATGTATATATTTGTAAATATACCCGCTGTCTGGATAATGCTGCAGGCATGTATATGTTTTCAGGGCGTGCCATTTGATATTGAATAACTGTTGATGGGCTCTTCCCTGAAGACTATTTCTCCCACTCCAAGCATTCTGTAGCTGTTTGTGTAGGGCTGAGGACCTCTCTGGCATATCTATTTTTGTTGTCCTTGTTCTGTTCATGGTTGGGCAGCTAACCAGAGCTAGGGAAGTCATGGATCTTGGAGGAGAACCTACAACCAACACTTTACTAAGCCAGCATAATCCCTAAGTACACTCTAAATATTTATCCTCATACCCACAGATAACTATAGTCCACACCTCTCATCAAGGAAACATCTCTTTGCAACAGGTGGAGACCGTTACAGAAAACCACAACCAATCAAAATGCACAGTCCCGGAACCCAGTTCCAATGGCTACATCTACAAGGTAACTCCCACCCCTCAGACTCAGGGAGCATTGCAGAAGAGGAGGCAGAAAGATTGTGAGAGCCATGGGATCAGGGAGTTTTCCATGAGACTATGTCTCTTACTAATGTCAAAAGCTACACCCATAAGGTCTCACCAACATTTCTAGCATTTTTACATGAGCTCTAGACAGCCCACTCAGGTCTTTGTACCTACAAGACAAGCATTTTGCCACCTGATCTATCTCCTCAGCCCACAGAAGTGCCCCCTTTCTTAATAAGTAGTCTCTGCTTCTACCACTATCTACACATCCCTGTCTAAATATTGTCCTAGGATGTACGGTGCTGGGAAATCCCAGGGGATGCCCATCAGACCCAGATCCTTGCCCCTGACCCTGGAGGGATCTTCAGTTGTTGCAGAAGTCAGAGGGAGTCTAGAGATTGGGCTTGGGCCCTGCTCCTACTATGGATACCGACTTGTACACAGCCAGCATCTTTAGAGCACTCTGTTTGCTGAGAGCAGGTTCAAAATAGGATGGGGGAGGGGAGATCAGCAGAGAGAAAAACTCAGCAACCAGAGACCTTCTTTTACAAAGGTGACGTGGAAAAAATAAAATCTGGAAATTCACTTATGTGCAGCAGACTTGGCTGGGTCTCTCATTGTCCTATGAGCATCCCACATATTTACTTGTTGACCTCCGATGACTGTAGAAGGATGCAATCACTTTCCTGTTTTCACAGATAAGGAAATAGAGACTCAGAGAAGTAACAAACCCAAGGTCACACAGCTAGGAAGCATGCGCGCTTGGTCCAAACACACAAAGTCTGGCTTCCGGGTCAGACACTTAGATAAGTTGCTGAAGACAGGATGCAGGAAGGCCTGGGATCTGGAGAGAAGGTGGTAAAGTGATTGCTTCCAGCGAGTACCAGATATGATGGGCCTCACTAGGACCACTGCAAAAATGAAGAGGAGGTCTCCTGGCTACAAGCTCTCCAGACAACTTGCAACAGGGAGTGTCATTTCCCCAAACAGAATCAACACAGCACTTCACATAAAACAGCGCTACTTATGAAAGAAAAAAAAAAAAACCCCAAAACCCAGAGCCTTCTTGTTTTGTACATTAATAAATTAATAAAGGTAATTGTGTCAGTGTGCATTTAAAACAGAACAGACACCTTTGGCTTGGGAGATGGCTCAATTGGTAATGTGGTTGCAGCTTGAAGACCTGAGCTTGATTCCTTGAACTCACATAAAAGGTCAAGTGTGATGGTGCATGCATGCAGTTCCAGTCAAGGAGGTGGAGACGGGACTCTTGCTGGTCAGCCAGTCTTGCCTCCATGACAATCTCCAAGCCAGTGAGAGACCCTGTCTAAAACAATGAGGACAGTACCTGAAGAACAACACCCAAGGTTGACTCCTAAACTCTGACACTACAAGTACACTTAACCCCCCCCATACAATGTATACACACACGCACACACGCACACACGCACATCATCTATCCATGTAGCATCCATATATAAAAGATATTTAATTCAATTGTTACAAATGTATTAATGTGAAAATTATTTGTTTTTATTTTATGAGTATGAGTGCTTTTGCTTGCATTCATGTATATATGCCATGTTTATGCTATGCACATAGAGACCATAAGAGGATGTCAGAAGTGGTTGTGAGCCACTGTGTGTGTGTGCTGGGAGCTAAACCCTAGACCTCTGCAAGAGTAGCAAGTTATCTTAACTCCCAAGTTTTCCATCCTTCCAGTCCCGGAATTTTCCAAATCTAGCTTCCTTTTGGTCTTTGAACTCAACTTGCAAATCCTTGCCAACATAGATGAAATCTTAACTATTCCCCTTAAGGTCTCCTGTAAGTGCTCACTTTCAGCAGAGTTCAGATAACAAATTCATTAAATGTCCCCCTGTGTTTAAACTGTCAGGCCAAGCCAGAAGATTCAAGCCTAAAGCAAAAAAATAAGGAAACATACAAATGGAGAGGTTACCAGTTTCCTTGAATTAATGAAATGTGGCAAGGTTGGTAATATCTAATTTAAATTCCCTCGGTGAAATGCTAGGTCTAAATTAAGGGACAACTCAGTCACATTTGAAAAAGTTACGAAGACTAATCTACCTTGAGCCCATTGAAAACATCTTTAAAGACACCTTCCCCAACCCCAGAGGGGTTGGTTCTCGCCCACAGCCATCGCTGTAATTTCCAAATCGCTCTATAAAATTCTGAACTTTTCTAGTGTGGACAGGGTCTTGGAGCTGGAATAAACAAATTGAGCCTAGTACCACAGGCAAGTTCCATCCTGAACTTAGGACTTAACAGCCTGAGGGTTCTGGCTGGAGTGCAAGGGCAGTTTCCTTCCCCTTCACAGACTATTTTCTAGTTACTATGGCAACAAGAAACTACAAGCCCACAAATATAGATGGGTTTGGTTTTCACACCCTTGGCCTTGACTTAAGTTTAGTGATTTAGCCTCTTGTACCATGCAGCACAGACTCATAATGCCCCCGCCCCCATACCCACTGCCTTCAGCACCTGGATACTTGACATAAAAATATTTATTCAGCACCCCTCAAAGGTGCAGAATTGAAACCAGCCCAAGCAGGGAGATGTTAGTGGAAGTGTTTGGGGGAGCCTATAAGTAGTGTCTTTAAAAGATAAAGGGGGTGCTCTTCTCCCCAAATGTCCACAATAAAGAGCTGATGCTTAAAGCTAGAACAATTTGTACTATGAGGTGAACTTGTGGATGGCTGGCATCTTATTTATTAACTCTTGTAGACCAAGGTTGATGAAGTCTGAGGTCCCAAACTATAAAATGCCATACCAACATTGCTCTCAAAACTGAAAAATTGAGAAATTCACTTCTACATGACTCAGTAGTTATGGTTTGAATGGAAAACTTCCTCCATAGTATCATGTGTTTGAATACTATTCTCCAGCTGGTGGCGCTGTTTTGGAAGGTTGTTGAAACCATGGGGTCTTGCTGAATGAACTGGGTTGCTGGACGACAGTTCTTGCAGTTTATAGTCCAGCCTTGCTTTTAGCCCCAGTCTTCCTGCTTCCTGAGCCACTAGGATGTGAGAAAGCAGTCTTAGAGTTCTGCTGCCACAGCCCTGCTGCCACACTTTACTCACTATGATGGACTGTGCCCTTTGACTGTGAGCCAAAGGAAACCTTAAGTTGCTTCTTACCAGGTATGTGGTCCCCACAGTGAGAAAACAAAGATGCTCATTAATATGACATGATGCCGAATCTTCCTAGCAATCCTAGGTTAACTCCATCATGCTTCATGTTAGAGGCCGGTAAGCTGGGTTCCAGACACCTAACCTGTGTAGAAAACAGTTCCACTTGACAGAGTAGAAAGTGATGTCCCCACTAGTGCCTTCTGGGTACTGTTTCAGCTATGAAAAGGGAAAGGCAAAGCTTGGTAGACTCAAGGATAGTCAACCTATTCTACTAAGGTTCAACAAAACAAAACACCAGAGAATTTGCTTAAGGAGTTCTTATTTATTTTTCCAGGAACAGATATAGATACCATCTACATCCCTTTCATGCATGGGAATCTTTTATTACAGATTTAGATATTTTTTACACTTGGTTTTTGGCTGAAAAAAAAAATGCTACCTTTCTTGTTGGCACAACACAAGCAAATAAAAAAAACACACACAAAACAAAAGGAGGAAAAGGGAAAATAGCAGTGTTGAGGCCACTACCATAGACAGATGCTATATATAAATGATTGGAAAATTCTTTTCCCCAAAGAGATGCAGCCAGCCTGGCAGAGACCTGGCACATCTTGGCAACTCACAAACTGTGTACTTTTCCATTCTCATCTACAAAACATTCATAAATATGGTGACAAGCATAATATACATCAGAAAGATACTTAAATTAGTAATGGCCATTGATCATCCGAGGCTCTCAGAATACTTGGCACTGAACTAGTCAATTCTGTGTGTCATCTTTCCCCTTAGAGCAGCTGAGACGCCAGGTTTGAAGACGGAACCCGAAGACTCCAGTGTAAGGGACTGTGTAGATGCTTTCCTTCACGCTTCAGGCTATTATCTAGACACACTGGTAACAGCAGGGATGGGCTGGCCCCTCTTGAGCCTCAGACTCGGTTCCCCAGGTTCAGGTGCTGGCTGCTAATTGTCAACAGAACTATGACACAGAACACTCTCACCCCTGAGGAGCCCCACCTCTTCTTCTCAAGAACGAAGGCATCGACCTGACAGTTTGGGGCAGATTCCAAATCCAGTCATTTCCTCTTGCCAGTTTTGATTTCAGTCAGGGAGAAGATCACAGAACACAAAGGTGTCTATGGCAAGGGCTGCTACACCTCACCTCAGCCGGTGTTTCAACCCTGGGAACAGTTCACCCAAAGAGTAGCACAAGTAGATGTGTGCACACAACTGGCACATTACCCCTCCACCACCTTTGTCTCGGTCCACTTCATGCATTTGTGCATTTCCTCCAACGCCCTTTATGTTGACTGCTATTGGGCTGGAGTGCCTCACAGCATCTGACTCCGAGGGCAGATGCAGTGTTTGATCTGTTTCTCTCTCTCTCTCTCTCTCTCTCTCTCTCTCTCTCTCTCTCTCTCTCTCTCTCGATGAACCATTCTGATACCCACATCCTCAGTATGCAACCGTCTGTGGCTTTATAAATCATAGTCACAAACTCCTTGCCCCTCCACCTGTCCAGGGGAACAGAGAGCAGATCCAAAAGCTGTATTTGAAAGATTTTTAAAGTATGTACCAGTACTAAACCCACAGAGACCCTTTGATATCAGTCCTCTAAACAATACAGCATGGTAACTGTGTTAAGATCTGCAAATGGAGCCGGGCGGTGGTGGCGCATGCCTTTAATCCCAGCACTCGGGAGGCAGAGCCAGGCGGATCTCTTGTGAGTTCGAGGCCAGCCTGGGCTACCAAGTGAGCTCTAGGAAAGGCGCAAAACTACGCAGAGAAACCCTGTCTCGAAAAACCAAAAAAAAAAAAAAAAAGATCTGCAAATGGTTCATTAGAATACAGAACGAAGAACAACACACAGGTAATGTGCAAACGTTATCCCATTTGATAGAGCTTTAGTAAGTACTTGGCATCCAAGATGGCTTCCTGGGCTCAGTCCTAGTACATGTCGAGAACAACTGTACCATAGCATGATATTATGTCATTAAAGATAGGCCAGAAAAGACATAGCTTCTTGCTGGCTGTGTGGTGCTGCCTCTTAGAATCCAGGCTCCCGTGATGCAGGGAACCCATCCGTATGGGGAAGCAACAGCATTCACTGGAGGTAGGCAGCACTTGACGAGCCCGACACTTTGAGTCACCCATGGCTAGACTGAGTGGAGGGTCCTTGGCTACCCGAGTGTCGCTTAGATTATGGATCTCTCAGACATGGTGGGCAGATAAGGCACCCTACTGGGTTGTCCTGATCCCAAACCACGGGACCCAGGGTCATGAGTGGTTGTCTTCTGCCTCAATGTTCTGAGAGGCTGTTATGTGAGACAGGCAGTTATGAGCCACACACAAAAACAAACAAACAAATAAATAAAAAATGAGCATGTGGATATGAGGGCAGTACCTATCCAAACTCCTCTTTCCTGAGGTAACATACTGTGGAGATTGACACCCCCGTCCTCACCCCCAATGTCAGTTGCATTTGTGATATAGTAACAGAAAACCTTAAGGGGGCATATTTTCTTGAACAGAGCAAGAGAGTCTGAGGTAAGCTGCCGGCGTGCAATCTGATACCCAATGATGGCCTCGGAGTCAAGGCCTTGACGCTCAGGGATGGGCAAGATCTTTCTTTCTTTGATCTCTGTCATTCTGAACTTCTCATCAAAGAAGGTTGTGGCCTCTCCAGGTGGTACACATGTTAAAAAAACAAAACAAAGCTGGGCAGTGGCACTGGCGCATGCCTTTAATCCCAGCACTTGAGAGACAGAGCCAAGCGGATCTCTGAGTTCGAGGCCAGCCTGGTCTACAGAGGGAGATCCAGGACAGGCTCCAAAACTGCACAGAGAAATCCTGTCTCGAAAAACAAACAAACAAAACCCCCCAAACCCCAAACCCCAACAGCGAGAGTCTGCTGGTAAGACAAAAGTACAAAATGCAAGCTGAGGTA